TTTTTTTTTAAAGGGAAGTTATGTATATTCATTTTAATAGGTTGTTGTAAGAATCTGTATCTGGGGATAGAAATTTTCACATGACTGAAGAACCAACAACAAAACCAAAAGGGTTCCAACCTGCTTAGTGCAATTCTAGCTTCAGTTTAAGAAGTTTTTAAAAGCCAGTGGAAGAAGGTCTTGCCCCTGGCCATTCATTCCCAGCTCCTTGCAATTAGCTGCCCCTTCTGTTCAGCCAGTCAAGGTTTTTTTGTGGTGCTTTTTAAAACTAAATCTTTAAAGTTAGCCAGCTTAGAGAAAGCTCTTCTCTAAGCTGCTGCTTGGGCTAATGTTTAGCTAACAACTCCATTTCCATCTCTACAAAAGTCTGCAAAATGGAGATACACTCTTGAAAACAAAATGTAAAAATGTTATTCAGTCACAAAATGTATTTCTCTGTTTTCAGACTAATTCCACCAACTAAGAAAATGTATATTCAGTTAACCCTTTTAGAACAGGTACAAGCACTTCTGTCCACACTTGCAAATTTCCACTAAAATGATATGGGAAATCTAAACTGATAAGTAATAACCAAAGAGAAATTTCAGATAAGATAGGTGGATTCTTTTCACATATATTAAACCAAAAGACATGCTGTTTTGAAGAGCAGTGAGATATGCAGAAAACGATGAATTGAATTTCAAAACAGCTGGTTTCTGAGATGCAGGCAGTTGATACAGATGAGTATGTCAAACCATTCTTACGTATGTTGTTATTAAAGACACCAAAGATGAGAATTCATGTTTCTGAGGTATATTTTTAGTTATATTTCCCAGTCCTGTAATCATTGACTATTTTTGTCATGACAAACATATCTTTGCTATGTGTGTTATTAGTCCACATACCTTTTTTTTTTTTGTCCTTCCTTAAAAAATGTAAATTACCAGCTGGATTTACTGGAGATTCTCTGAAGTCCTTAACTTTGAATGTAGTCTGTGATATTTATTCTGTAGTACAGGTCGGATGCATGCAGTGTTTCTTGTACAGTGAGGTCACAGGATAAACTTTAGATATATTGAAGGCCATGAAAAGCTCTTATACTAGAGAACAACTTTTTACCTGGAGGAACATTTTATGATTGAATGCTAGTTTGCTCTGTTCTTCTGTATTGCTTCCACTGTGCCGGTTTCCGCAGGAAGGAGCTGCTCTCCTACAGAGAGCTGGCCTGCCCACAGTGGCCAAGGGATCTTGTTTCCCTCCATGACACGTCAGGCTCAGTGGTCAGGCTGGGAGCGTGTGCAGTTGGGAAGGTGGGAAAGTGGCCCTGGATGGGTGGGATTTGGTTTGTAGGCTTTGGGGGCTAGCAGATAGCTGTGCTGATAGCTCCTTTTGTTAGTTCTTAGCGGGCTCTTAGCAGAGAAGGCTGGGGGGTTTTTTTCTCTCCACTCTTGGGCTCAGAGTTTGTTTTTTTCTCTCTGCTTGGATTTTGCTTGCTGTTTTGGAATCTGGCTGTGTTGGTCCACGGGTGGTGATCCTATGTTCTATGTATGTAGGATGCTGTATCCTATGTTCTGTTTTCCATTGTTTTAATTACTTTTTAGCAATAGTATTGTTAGTATTACTATAAATTTTATTTATATAATTAAGTAGCTCTTATCTCAACTTTCACGAGCTTCCCTTGTTGGTTTTTTTTTTCCTCCAACCCTTGTCCACTGAGGGTGGGGAGGGAGGAGGTGATAGGGTGACTGTCTGGAACTTAATTGCCAGATAAGGCTAAACTATGACATTCACGTACCAAATCACAGAATGATAGAATGGTTTGGGTGGGGAGGGACCTTAAAGACCATTCAGTTCCAACCCCCCTGCCATGGGCAGGCACACCTTCCACTAGACCAGGTTGCTCCAAGCCTCATCCAGCCTGGCCTTGGACACTTCCAGGGATGGGGCATCCACAGCTTCTCGGGGCAACCTGTCCCCGTGCCTCCCCACCCTCTGCGGGAAGAACTTCTTCCTGATATCCAATCTAACCCTCCCCACTTTCCATTTAACCCCGTTACCCCTTGTCCTGTCACTACAGGCCCTTGTAAAAAGTCCCCCCCAGCTTCCTTGTAGCCCCTTCAGGCACTGGAAGGTGCTAGAAGGTCTCCCCGGAGCCTTCCCTTCTCCAGGCTGAACACCCCAACTCTCCCAGCCTGTCCCCATGGCAGAGGGGCTCCAGCCCTCGGAGCATCTCTGTGGCCTATGTGAAAGTGTCATCTAGAAATTGGAACCTGACCAATAATAGTGTGGGTAATGTGGAAAAATAACTCCTTGACATATAGTGATGTACTAAAAGCGCATAAATAAAAACTTTGGATGAATATGAATAGAAAGATCACTTAAGGGAGAAGATGGTGTTTTCACTTCATAAAGTGATGATCCTTGAATTCTGACTGTCTCTGTGGGAGTGAAGAACACCTGAATTCATCTGTAAATTAAGTACAGTAAAGCACAACAGTAAGAGACCTTGTAGTAGGTCTTGCGTGATAGTCTACTTGATAAGTTCTCCAGATGGCTGCAGGCAGGAGGAAACCTATCTGCTTGCCTTGACCCCCCCCACAGCACTGAGACACAGCTCAGCCGGCCACCTCTGCCTTGACCCCATTCGGAAAGTTGTTCTGCCTCCCAGGGTTTCCTGGGAAGGGGGATTGTATTTCAGGCTAGCTGTTAGAGCAAGATTTTGTTGAAGAAAAAAAAAAACACAAATAAATATGCACATGAAAGAAGCTTTGGGTCAAGTAAGTCTGTTCAGGAAAACAACTGAGGTACAAAATGTGGGAATAGATACAGGGGTATTTGCTGCAGGAAGGAATGCTGCATTGACAGACGTCATAGCCTAAGTGGGATGCATTCCCACGGTGGCCTTGAATGGTGGCTAGCCATTTCATTGGAGAATCCATGCCAGGTCTTCATTTTTCTTTTCGAGGAAGAAGTAAATTGCACTCTGCAAAATATTCTGCAACAGTTGCTGTCTTCAGGTTGGTTCTAAGAAAAGGCCAGTAATCGGGTCACTTCCATGCTGCTGTCCTCTGCTTGCTTCTCTTCCTAAGAAAGCTCGGTACGTTGCTTATATTAGAATCAGTCTTAAATCAATCCCATGGGCAAGCCTTAACTTTTCTCTAAGAGGTTGCTCACTGTATAGAACTAATGAGATTCTGCAGGCATTAATAGCTTCAGGAGGTAAACATAATTCAGTGTGCCAGGCACCCCTAGGTGCTTTTAGCAAGGGTGGCTTTTGGTATCGGTTTAGCTTTTCACTCCTGGGTGACCCCTTAACTTTGCCAATGAGGTCGTTCTTGTTTTAGAAATGGGTACTGCTTTTTTGTCTCTCATCCGCGTAATCTGTGAACAGGCTCTTTGCTGAAGAAGAGAGCAGATGAGGTAAGAGCATGAGTGCCTGCAGTCCTTGCGTAAGACAGTATGAAGATGTTGTTCGTGCACGAACAACATGAAGAATTTCAATCTGAGGTGGGAAAAAAAAAAAGTGCAAAAGGCATAAAATGATTAGTCTGTGAAAAGCCTGCCTGTTCATATGCGATGAAGGATAAGACCCTGAGAGGATGAGTAGCAGAGTAGGCTTTGTTTTGGTCTTATTTTCTACTTGCTTCATACTCTGGGCTCCTATCAATGTTTGTCGTAAAATAACATTGTTTTCAGTAGTCTGTGAAAAGGATGTGTGCTCTAAATTTAAAATTTGGTTTTACAAAAAAAATCTAAATAATGGACTTGCAAGTTAATTGGAGAAAGCTGAATGGTTTTGTCTTCTGTGTCACACAAGTGGTACAAAATTATTTTGTCCATATGATCCACTTCCAGTATTAGCAGGAAGGAAAATCTCATGTCCACCTTTTTCTTAGGAATGTTTACTACTGTGACATTGTCTTCTCCTGTCCTTCCTTTTCTCTTCAGCTGCCTTCTGAAAGACCAACAATAAGAACATTTAGGAAAAAATTCTACATTTTCATCTTTGTATCCTTTTTCAAATCCCCCTTATGCCTCTTTTCCATTGCAATATGTTCTACATGGTTCTTCCTCTTCAAGCATTTCATAATTTCACTTTTCCTGCTGTTACATCCTAGTAGGTTTTTATGTCAACTCCTCATTGTGCCAGTAGTTCTAGCTTTGAACTTTGTCTGTTTCTTCTGTGTATGCCTGGAATTTCCTCCCAGATCTCATCTTTCAAATACCGCTTGAAAACCTTCTCTATATTGAAAAATATATATACTTTATTCTTTGTATCACACTGTGTATCATCTACTTGTCCCGAGAGACAGGAAAGTGTTCAAGGGATAAGCTGTTGTCAGTTGTGGGAACTGCATGTGAATCAGTGTTGCTGCTATCATGATTATTCATATGTTATTTGTCTAGTAAAGTTTTGATGGGGTAAATTACTGCTTTAAATTTCTCAATGAGCACAGTAGGCGTTTTAAGACTTGTTGAAAAATGGGTAAAATAAATAGAAGAAATAATAGGCTGAAGAATAGAAATCATACTTCCACAGTAACCAATTTAATTATTTCATCCTAATGTTCTTCGGAAAAGGTTTTTCCCTTCTTCATAATTTGCTACACTTACCCAAATAAACAGTATTCATGTTTAGTGGTATATATTAACAACAGTTAACCTGTTCAGAAAACTGGTGCTGGTGTTAACTTCAGCTCATGAATAAATGAGAGTCCTGACATTATTATTTCCAACAGCTCTAAAATGTTAATAAGGTTCTCTGGAAATAAAGGGTTTGTGAAAAATATCAGGGTTTTTGGTTGGTCGGTTGGTTTTTCTTCCCCCCATTGTCTTACATAGCTTACACTTCATTCTGATAAGAAAATGTGTGGGATTACAGATTTCTTCATTGAAGAATTTGTTTGCATTTAATACAATATTGTTGTAACAAATTAACAAATAGAAAATGTCATTGTGACCAAAAATTCATTAGATAAGCTTAAAAAAAAGAAAACTCCATTTGAGGGCCCCTGGGCAGAGAGATGCTGCCTCTGCATGAGGAAATTCAGAAGCTGACAATTGCCACGTTACCACAGAATTGCCAATACGTGTTTCTCTCCTCCTTACGCTGTCTTACGCTTGTGTAGCTACTTACTGTTAGGCAGTACATTGGTATAGCTGGATCTTTAGTCTGGCCTACTGTGTTCTTAAGTCAGCGTTTAGAAAAACTGGTTTTTACTGCTGGTGGTGTTAAAGACATGCATCAATACCAAGGGTTAGCAGGAGGAATGTCTTTAGGATGCAGAGGGGTGGGCTTATGTCATACTTACAAACAAAGCAAAAAAGGCTTAAAATAAAATGAACGTTCAAGAAGCTTTAGAATACAGATTTTTGTATCATTAGGTCAAAGGGGGACCACTGTGATTTAGTGTGACTTCTAGATAACACAAGCAGCAGATATTGGTGAATTAATCCATATCTGGACCAGAGCATCGTGTCCGTTCTTGACTGATATCTTACCTCCGATGGGTAGCCCACACCAGCCCTACAGTAAGCGTGTTGAGTTTGTAGTGAAAGACTTGTTGCTCCGTAATGGCTAATGTGTAGAGAAGGTCAGTATGTCCCCGTTTTAAGTTGCGTGGTTTAAATTCTGTTACAGTGTGAATAAAAGGAAAATAATGTTTCGGGGGGTTTTGTTATATTCAGGTGATTTTTATCAATAAAAAAATATTAATGCGTGACAATCTTTTGTAGTTTAACACGGCAGCCAAACAGCTGATAGAATTGGATAAGCCCTCAGGTTCTGCTGTTGACTCCGGAGAAGGTACCTCTGGAGCAGCCCACAACAATTCAACCCAAAAGCACACAGATACTAAGAAAAACACCAAAAAACGGCACTCTTTTACCTCCCTCACAATGTCCAACAAGTCTTCACAGTCTTCTCAGAATCGGCACTCCATGGAAATCAGTCCTCCTGTCCTCATCAGCTCCAGCAACCCAACCGCAGCAGCCCGCATAAGTGAGCTGACGGGGCTCTCCTGCAGTGCCCCTTCTCAGGTAATTTAGATCACATCAAATATAAATCAGGAGTGGGTTGGGTTTTTGGGCCTTCTTTAATAACTCTAAAGGCTTCTGAATTTGTTGGATTACTTGCTTCAAATCATTAACTATATGTCATTAAGGCGAACGTGCTCTTTCTCAAAGTATATCATCCTCCAAGTTGAGAGCATTTAAGGAGAGCATTTTACAATACTCCTTACACAGTGATTGCACATATTTTTGGTCCCATAAGCTAATTTTTTTCCACAGTTGTCAGTTTCTTACATGCTAGAAAGATTTTCATTATACTATGGAAACTAGAAACTGGAGTGATTAATTTCTTGGTTGTTTTTTTTTTTCTAAATTGACTATAATACTGGATTTTAATAAAGCCCTTGGAAGTAAACGGTAAATTCAACTTTAAATTACATGAATTCCAGAAATGTACAGGAAAATTGTGATAAGTAGAAATATTTAACTGACTTTATTTGTTAATCTCCTGTTTCTTCAAAGCTTTTCGTTACAAGCTGCAGTAGCTCATCAACAATTGTCTCTTTCACACAGAGGTTACAGTTTAGGAGAGGAGGTGATAAGGAAGACTCAGAAGTGTTGGTATCGTTTTACATGAGCTAGTAAATACGCTTGATTTGCAGGTCTTTGGGTTCTGACAGTCTGTTATGGGAAAAAAGAAAACTGACTGACATGGGTAAAAGTGTTTCACATTGCTGGTTCAAAACGTATCTTTAAAGTTTTTGAAATGTCGAGGGGAAAAAGGAGTGAGCAGTGTGATCCAATTCTGTTTGTTTAAGTATCTAACAAAAAAGCAGTTCCAGTGTAAAGTTACAGATAGTAGAGTACTGCTGATTTTGCCCGTGAAACTTAGAGCTGTGTCAAAACCAGCTCTTACTGGGCTACTCAGAACTGACCTTGCTGTTTGTTTTGGTGGTGTTTTCTTTCTTTGGCAGGTTCATATTGGTACCACGGGGCTAATTGTGACTCCACCCCCTAGCAGCCCAGTCACAACAGGGCCTTCATTTACCTTCCCCTCAGAAGTTACCTACCAAGCTGCTCTTGGTGTAAGTACTGCTTAAGAAACCTCAGCCTTCCCATTTATCTTTGGTCTGTACAGTCTTTTTTGGTTTTAATCTTGAATTCTGACACAACAATTTGAAATGATGGTTTTATGATGATTGTCTGATAGACAATGGTATAAATTGAAATACAGCAAAAGCATTATTGACGCCATAATGCTTGCATCCTGTCATGCATATCCTTTATCCCGCTTTCCTCTGTCATTTTGCTGTAGCAAACCCAAGGAGCACACTTCCTTCCACAACGGCATTTCTTTTCAGTATGAGCAGGAAAGAGACTCTGCTGGGGGGAGAGGTTAGGGGAAACCAGCAAGATCTTAAAAAAAAATATCAGCTTGAGACCACACCTGCCAGATATTTCTGTCTTACTCAGGTCTATATTTTCATGATTCTCTGAAATAAGTTTCAAAACTCTGCTTTCTCCTAATTAAAGAAGATGATTTTCGTTGTGTGTATGGCTGTTGCAGATGAAGAACATCTCTAGCATGTCTACGTTACATTCTTCTAGATCAATATAATAAAACTGTTGCAAACTGCCCCTTTCAAAAAAGTAATACATTGCAATGCTGTTTCCTTTGGTCAAAGAAAATGACATTGTCTTCAAAATGTGCAGGGTTTCATTCCAAAGCCAACTGAAATTTTTTATTTTGCTATGCTTGTGGAATGTTCTGTATCATGTTGTACTTATCAGAACCTGACCTTAACTGCAGTCAAGATTGTGGATACCAGTTTTCAGCAATTTTCAAAGGAACTTAATGAGCCTTCACGTTGATCACAGGAATTCTTGAAATATAATTCTTGTTTCCGATCCAGAAATTACCTTTGGGGGGCGGAGTTGAATAACAAATCTCTGCTTAGCTTATAAAAAATAAACAAACCCCAAAAAACCAACCCCCCTTCCCCCCAAAAAACAACCCCACACCAACCAAACATCAGTAAAAACCCCCAAAACCTCAAGCAACCCAAAGAAAAAAAAACGAATGCTTGATCTTGTGTAGGTGTCTAGTTAGCCTTGCAGTCTTTAAAGCAAGTAAAACAAGCTGAGTAGCCTTGCTGCTTCATAGGTCTGGGTTTGTTTCCAACTTTGGCACTTGCATCATTTTGGGCATTTGTCTGCAAAATCAAAGGCAGAATTATGTCTTCTTTTATCAACTTTTTATTGCTTAAATGAATGCTTAGGTGTGGCGTGGTTGCAGCTTTCTTTGGGACTCTGGGTTATGTTTTTCACTCCTTAAAATTATGATGCTGTTACTTTCTGAATTATCGCCAGCACTTCCTTCGGACATGGAAAGTGCGTTACGGAATTGGGTGCCCTACTGCACTGTCTTTTGCAGTGATGGAAATAGTGATAGTAAGATCCTTTTATCCTATTGGTCTGGTGTTTTATCTTGAGAACTTGCATCCATTTGTTTGGCTTGAGTGTAGCACTAAGTTTATGTTCAACTAAATATCCACTGTGATCCCACAGATGTTCATCATTGTTAGTGATGTGGTAATTGTAGTGATGTAAATGGAGTAATTATCCAGGTAAATGTATTTCACACTGTTGGTTCTTCAGACAGATGACTTTATTATTAACAATTACACAGGCAGTGTGCTTCTGCCCTGTCTTACTGAGTAATGCAGGCTGTGCTCTAGCAATTCCCTGTCTTCTTATTATTAACAACTCCTTCAACTTGTGGATCATCTGTGCAGTGTTAAATATATGCTAATCTGGAACCAATTAATAATCTGCTTATATTTAGATTTGTATTTTAATGTTACAGAGGGGTTGAGGTTGGAGGGGACCGCTGGAGGTCATCTAACTCCCCTACTCAAGCAGGGCCACCAGTTGCCAAGCACGGTGTCCGCACAGCTTTTGAGTATCTCCAAGGATGGAGACTCCACAACCTCTCTAGGCAACCTGTACCAGTGCTCAGTCACCCTCACAGTGAAAAACTCTTTCCTGATATTCAGACTGAACCTCCTGTGGTTCAGTTTGTGTTTCGGTGGGCACCACGCAAAAGGGCATGGTTCCATCATCTTTGTACTTCCCCTTCTGGGACTTACATACATTGATGAGATCCCCCTGAGCCTTCTCCAGGCTGAACAGTCCCAGCTCTCTCAGCCTTTCCTCACAGGAGATGTGTTTCTGTCCCTTATTTATCTTAATGGCCGTTGGCTGGATGTTCCAGTATGTCCACGTCTCTCTGGGAATGGGAAGCCCAGAACTGGACACAGCACTCCAGGTTTGGCCTCATCAGTGCTGAGGAGAGGGGACTGACCCGCTGGCAGGACTTCTAATGAAGCCCAGGATCCATTACCCTCCTTTGCTACAAAGCCACGTTGTCGGTCACCTTCAACTTGATGTCCACCGGGAAGGACTCCCATATGAGGTGTACATCTAGTGCTAGAAACAATTAGATGCTTATATACTAATCCGTTTCACCTTTTGTACTTCTTTCACCCTGTCTTTCAGAACATACCTGTGAGAACTGAGCAAACAAAATCACTCTGGGCAGCATTTGTGCTGCTAGGCAGAACACAAGTCTGGCTGACATATATGCTGCAAACACTGAGTAATTGACTTGATTCGTGGTCAAGATGTGTTTCGGAGGTGATGGGATAGGCAGGATTCAGAGCGGAATTTCTAAAGTTCTGCCAGAAGTGGCCTTTTTTTCCCTTCCTCCTCTCAGTAACAAACACTTTTGTTTGTATTAAGAATCAGTAGTTCTTTCCTTGATGCCAGCAAGGAAAAACGCTTTATATTGGTGCTGGTGCAAAGTCATTACACCACCTTGGGTGCTTTAGTTGCATAACCTTGTTCAAAAGCAATCTCACCATGGGTACCCACAGGAATTAAATTACAGTGCTAAATGTAGTATGGAGTGAAACTGCTGCCACAAGATCGTCCTGTGTCCTGGAGTGCTACTTTCTCTTTGTAATAACTGTGTTCCTGGTTATGTTTCCCATTAGGCATGTAATTCCCACTGAGGATTTGAATTATTCTCTGCCACCCTCTTTAAAAGTCAATACCCTTCTGTACATAATGTTCATTTTCCTCTTGATTTGTTTTTAGCGTGACTAAAATGCAGGCTCGTAGCTTAGGCTACAGCCAGGTTGCTCCTGTGTTCTTCTACGATAGGTAACGTTAGATGATGATGCAGTTGATGGTCACAGACTGTGAGGGGTGTCTTTTACGTCTGCTTTTCCTCTTGCTTTGTAAGCTCTTTGTTTTCATTTTAGAAATGTGCAAAATGGTTCTGACAGATCAAGAGAGAAGGCGGCGTTCTTGTCTCTCTAGATGTTGCCCTTCTAGAAATACCCTCCCTGACATTCTGGGCATTCACATTAAGCTATGGAACAATTGTAATTTTACCATTTAACACATCAGAAGTGGCTGGGTTGCCGTTGTCTTTTTTGCTTTCGTAAGTATAAACTCCTGCGTGTCTCTGAGCTGCTCCCTGTAGCTCTTTCTTCACTTCTCAGTGCTAAGCAAGTGACAAGGGAGTTGGATTGGAACAGGGAGAGTTTCTTTTTTACCATGAGGGTGGTTTAACTGGATCTTTCTGTCCATCGTTCTGGTGTTATGATACTATTTAAAGTAATTGATTGTTCTTTCAGAGCAAGCCCTTTCTAGAACTTGTATTACTTCATGCCAAACTCAGGTTAAGGGAGAAGAAATCGGAGAGGGTGGGCATGATTCCCCATCAACAAAGGAAAGGATGTATTCCTTTACAGTAATCCTGAATTTATGCATCTTTGCTACATTTTTCTGGCCTGAATCTAGAAGCAGAGAAAAGCTAGTGTCTTCTCTCATCGTCTGTAAGAAAGATGGCTTTTGTATGGTTAAGAGGAGATATTTTGAGCTGTCTTGTTGGGTAGCAAATTTTTCTGAGACAGTTGAGATTAATTCCTAGCCCGAAGGAGCCTGTGAGTCTCTCCTCTGTGTATGTGTTCAGGATTACAGTTTATGTTGCTATTTTGGGAAATATTAGGGTGGTTCAGGAAGTGTCAATAACATTCATTTTATTTTGCCCATAATAATCTTTTGTAGATGCTGTTTGGTACCAAAGAGTGGGTGAAGTAAATAATTTACAAATTTACAGACAAAATGCACAAATAAGACTTACGAATGAGAGTGCTTTTGTCAAGTGACCATGTACCCTGTCTGTTGCATGGATCACTTCAGCAAATTTTAATTTGCATTCAAAAAACCTGTCATCATGTATTTAAAAGTTTTATTTTACAGCAGCGGTTCTTCGGTCTAATTCTTTAGCTGGCAGCATTAATTCTTGTTTTGTGTTTTGAGGTTTGATTCTTTGAAACTGAAGAAGCTGTGATCTGAGACAAACTTCTCACAGCTTAGACTTTTACTGATATTATCACTTACACTGGTCTCTGGGACTTCACAACTTTTCCTTTAATAGGGGCGTTAATTGGTCTGCTCTTCTTGGCTCCTGGCATTTTTTTAACCTTGAAGGTGCTTAGTGTAACTGAACTTCTTTATAAATGTAAATAGCAGGTGTCAAGTTCAGTAGTTGTTGGGTGAAAATGTGCACAGGCAATTATATAAGGCTCGTTTATTTGGGGGGGAAATTACTGGATGTAATTTATGAGCTCGTCCTCTAATGGTGGAGATCCAGTTGCTGCAGATTTTGGTGAAAAAAAACTTAGAGGAAGTATGTGATTTGAACCATGATATGGGAAAAAAAGAGAGGGAATGTACTACAGCAAAGTTAGAGTTAGATTCAAAAGCAGCAGAAGAAAAACAGACTTTAGCAACAATAGATAACTTCTCTTCCTTTCATTCTGCCTTTACGGTCTCTTGAGAAGTTTAAAGTATTTTGGAATGCAGCTTAGTAATATGTGTGAGTTTCTAGAGCATAAGTATAGGTACTATTTGAAGTTTTTGTGTGAATTAAGTATGAAATTATGTAATATTTCATCTTCTAATGAAAAAAAAAATCACTTGCTGTTTTATATGCCTGAAAGTACACTTGTCTGAGAAGTTGCTGCTGAAACTTGTAGTGTTTCCCCCCGCCGAACTACCTAAAATAAAAATGCTCTTAATTATTTTGATGAGCAAATTTCATTCAGTCAGTTAGGGTTTCCATATATTCTTTCACAGAACGTTGAATCTGGGAGCCATCAAGACTAGCTTGTGATCTAGATGTGGGTCTGTTTCTCAATAGCTAGAAAAATGGTTACGCCAGAAGACTTCTTGAAAACTTGGCTAGAGCATTTGGATCTATTTTATCAAGTTGTAGCAGTGCACACTGAGGAACTTCGGTCCTCTAAAGCCTATCAGGTAGTTTATTTAGTTTTCTAAGTACTTGGCAAATCTTTAGGTGTTTGACTGGGCTGTGGCTCACTGCAAGTTTCATTACTGTAGTAATAGACTTGAGGAGGGGAGCAGAACAAGAATAAAATAGAGCTGGGGAGGTGCCTTTATTGCAGCTAAAAATTCAATGTATATTGTGTCTTCAATAAAACGCCCAGAATTTATATCTTTAGAGGTGCAGGACATGTGGAATCGTGACAACCCTGATATTGTGCATGAATAAGTTTAATTTTAAAGATTTTCACCTAATCATCTCCTAATGTGAGTTTACAGGTTCTACAGTGTATATAAGGAATCTAGATGACTAAAAAAAAAGATTTGAATTTATATTCTATAGAGAGTTTGCCTAAAAGTTAGATGCTCAAGTTCAGCTTGGATTCAGCCCAGACATGAGTTGAAGCTGACTGGGAGGAGGAAGTAACTCCTGCTGTAAAGCAACTGGAAGAGAAATGTTGGTATTTCAGTATGAATTATCAAGATACTTTTACAATTGTTGGATGGATGGGGATTCAGAATGTGAAGCAAATGCAATTGCCATTCGTGTAAATAACTCGGCTACCAGTATCAAAGCTCCCAGTGATGTTTCTCTAGCAGGTCATGTCTGCTTTGGGTTAGATGCAGGAGGCCTGTTTGGTCTTATGAAATCGTTAATGTGCCATCAGAAAAGAAACTTTAAATAACAGAAAGATATTTCACAATCTGCCGTGCAGTTTATATCATAACTAAGCCTAAGAATTTTGACTGAAAAACTATGAAGAGTTAACCGGTTTTCTCTAGATTTGAAAGCTTTTAATCATGCAGTTCTTTGCTGTGTGTTGGCAGTGTAAGACCAGTTCAGAGAGCTGTCTTTTTATTAACACCTTAACCAAATGCAGCAAGGTAGTAGTCACAGGGTAGAACTAAAACTTTTTTTTCCCTATAGGTTTTTTTTTAAGGAGGGGGGGGGAGGGAATCCCAAAAGCCACAATCCCAAACAAACTTCAGAAGTAGGCTGTTTGAGGGGAATTAAATATTTTTCAAACGGATAATGTGATGCAGTGCATTTATCTGCTGATGTGCTAGGGGAGCCAGGTGGTACTTCAGGACATGTTCTTAATTTATATTTTTGTTACGTGGTTTTTAAACCTGAAGTGACGTGGTTTAGAGCTTTGCTTCAGTATTAAAGGATTGCATTAAGTTGAAGATCATGTTTGAAATTAATTCAGTTTTACATTTTCAAACGTTGGAGGTTTTGTATTACTCTTTTTGTGTGTTGTAACACAAACAATTATTTTTGGCATGGGGGAAGGCAAAATTCTCCTATTGTGAGAGACTTTTCCCAGGAGTATCAGTACACAAGGTCCTAAAGAATTGTCTGAGGCTGTGGAGAGCAGAGGGTAACAATTGCTCCCTTGATTCTCAAAAGGCGTAGAAGCCTGTGGGCAGGACCCCGTTGGGATCCGCCTGTAAAGGAACTGTACCTTTGTACTGGGTGTTTGTTAAAGATTTCCAATCCTGATAATACTGAATTTCAAAAGCTAATTCTTCAAACGAGAAGAATAGGAGAAAGTGGTAACAATAGCTCAGTGACTCTGGTCTCCTGCTGTGCTCACTTTTGTAACCCCTAAATCCAAAGAAAATTTCCCCCAGAAGGGGTGGGGTTGGGTGCACTGCTGCTGAATTGTGTATTATGCTTCAGCTTCAGGTGACAAAACCCGTCATGTTCTGAAGTACAGTCAGCAGTAGGATGCAAAATCTACCTCCTGGAAGGCTTCTGAATTTTTGTCGAGTCCTATCCTAAAGTAGTTAGCATTAGAAACAATGCTTTCTGGTTTTCCTGTGCTAAGAAATTGCTAGGCGTTCGCTTAATTAGCTGCCAAGACTTCCAGGTTTTTGACTGGAAAAAGAGGAACACAGACAAACCTGACTCTGTGATAACATTAGTACCCCCAGGTAAAGGAATACTGACCTTGGCAAGTTTTTTCCCATTTCCTTAGGTTTGGGGTTTTTTTCCCAGCTGATTCAACCCATCAAAAACAGTGTTATCATCTGTTACTCTCTTGTTTTGTTTCCATAAAATCAGAATATGAATCCCCCACTTCCACCACCTCCTCTCTTGTCTGCTGCCATCATCGCGTCTGCCTCTTCTGGACCTCAGCCGGCAGGTGTAATACAAAGGCCTGCATCAGGATCAGCTGACCAAATGGCACATCTGCGACCCCAGGCTCGTCCAAGTGTGTAAGTAAAATCGAAACTTCTCGCTGGCCGTAAAAAATGGAACGAGGTCAGTAACTTCCCACAGGCAGCTGGCGTGACGGAAGTGTATGTGCTGCTAGAATTCTCAGAAATTCGGGCGTACAACTCGGAACAAAAGCAGCAAAACATACATGGAGGTGATGTCCCCACAGAGCCCTCAGACTGAGGGTTGTTTCTGTCGTAGGTAAATGTAATCAGCTGCTGCTGTGTATAGAAAGGACTGACTTCAAAAATACAAACTATTTCTCCTGCAGAAGATGAACGCGTCCTTGAGTTTGTGATGAAGACTGTGTAACTCGCAAGTAGCAAATTCTGGAGTGAATTTATTCAGTGTTTTCTGTTCTGTGTGGCCTGCAAAGGCTGTTCTCATACAAACTAACTTCTGCCGAAAACCAGAAAGCACTGTATTTCATTTAGACTGCTGTACTGGCATGTCATTGTCAGACTGCTTGTGTAAGTTGCGATTGAAATTTGACTGAAGATTCTGCAATTGGGTTAATTAGCGGGTGGCAATTTGGAATGAAGGCAGAAAGCTGCTGATTAGCATTATGTCTTCACACTTGTAATATAGGCAAATGTGTGTCATCCTTCTGAGTGAAAATATTTTGTATGGTAACGGGCTGCTGACAACATCTTTCTTCTTGGAAGCTTCTTTGTGTGCAGCTTGGAGAATGAGAATAGTAAAGAAAATGTAAAATTCAGGAGTGGCTGAACCACCTAATAGGACATATCTGAATAATGCAAGGACTACTTTTGTTCTGCGTCTTCATTTTTATCTTCCCACCAGGTTTCCTCCCACTCCAAGAGCGCCCTTCTTGCATAGCAGGTGCATCTGGATTGGGGCTTCTTCTTTGGTGTCAAGCATTTTAACACTCCTTATGGATTATGATGCTTAATCAAGTTCCCGTCTCATTTATTCCCATCCTCCATCTTCAAAGGGTTGCTCTATATGAGGACACTAATGAAATTTGCAATTATTTAACTAGAAGGGAAGTTAATGAACACCGATTAAAGCACATCAGTTGCTTTCCCATAGAGCTTCAGTCTGCTTTGTAGATCACCCCTGCATGCCCTCAACATCAGAAGGATATAGACTGGTGGGAGCGAGTCCAGAGGAGGCCACGGAGATGCTCCGAGGGCGGGAGCCCCTCTGCCATGGGGACAGGCTGGGAGAGTTGGGGGGTTCAGCCTGGAGAAGGGAAGGCTCCGGGGAGACCTTATAGCACCTTCCAGTGCCTGAAGGGGCTACAAGGAAGCTGGGGGGGGACTTTTTACAAGGGCCTGTAGTGACAGGACAAGGGGTAACGGGGTTAAATTGAAAGTGGGGAGGGTTAGATTGGATATCAGGAAGAAGTTCTTCCCAGAGAGGGATGTGAGGCACTGGGACAGGTTGCCCAGAGAAGCTGTGGATGCCCCATCCCTGGAAGTGTCCAAGGCCAGGCTGGATGAGGCTTGGAGCAACCTGGTCTAGTGGAAGGTGTCCCTGCCCATGGCAGGGAGGTTGGAACTGGATGGGCTTTAAGGTCCCTTCCAACCCAAACCATTCTGGGATTCTGTGATCATGTACCAGTGAAGCCTTTTGTTACCAATGTGTCTGCCTTGAAAGCATATTTTGGACTTGCCTTACCAGGCACCTATATTGCCTTTAAAGCATTTTTGCAGATAATGCAGTTTCCTGGGTGGACAGCAAGGAACACAAATATAATGCAAAAAGGAAAGTGGGAAAGATGAGCATTGCAAGTAGTGGTGGAACTTTTTTCAAAAAAGGGGGTATTCTACCTGTCTACTCCAATTGGCTACCTCTGCTGGAAAGTATGTTCTTTTTGAGAAAATATGGTTTATTAGAAAGCTGTTTCCAGTAGATCTGGGTGCATAATTAGATGAATACTTTCATATAAATGGTTTAAACAGTTTTCTTATGTTCATACTCTGGCAGAAAATAGAACGCTGTGGTAGTTAAAACAACAGCGTTTTTTAGTGTGATAATAGAGAAATTGTGCAGTCTTATTTGAAGTCTTCCCTAGGAACATTTCAGCATGCAACTGCAGGAGCTTCGATTTAATTTTTTACTTTTTTCCCTAAGAATGTCTTAAAAAAGAAAAAATGCAAAATGTTTCTGAACTCTCACTGTGATTTCAGCTGCACCGTATTAAGCATTAGTGTTGCTTAGAAGAAAAAAAAATGGAAATAACGTGGACAAATGAATAACAGCTACCTACCTTACCCATCGACTTCAAGCTCTAGTATCATATCCTTTTATTTTTGGCACTGCAGTTGGACAGGGAGATTCCAATTTTGCAATTTTAAAAGTAGCTGTGATGCAGCCCTTTCACTCCCAACAGAACTTCTCTGTCCTCCCCACCACTCATAAAAAGATAAAATAAAAAAATAAAACCAAATAACATAAAAATAAAAATAAAAAAAAAACAAAAACAAAGTGTGAGATAGAGAAGCAGGTGTAGGGAGAGGGACGTGGGATATGCTGGACTCTGTAGCTGATAAACAGCTATTTAATTAAATTCACTAACTTAACAAAGGAAATGGACAGTGTCCTTCGGAGTACTGTACATTACATTAAAGTGCAGTTAGGAGGATGTTTTTCGGAGTCACTGTTTCCCTTAACATCACCCTAAGTTCTGCTTTAGTAGTGTAACAGCATGATGGATCGACCAACATGTAGCCCTCTCTGCCACGCCTTCTCATCCCTGACTGACCTCTCTGCCAGAAAATGCAAGTGATGTTTGCAATCGGTTTATCAATTGTGCCCACTTTCCTGTCTTTTAGGTATATTGCTATATACCCTTATACTCCTCGGAAGGAAGATGAGCTGGAACTGCGGAAGGGCGAAATGTTCTTGGTGTTCGAGCGCTGTCAGGATGGCTGGTTCAAGGGAACGTCCATGCATACGAGCAAGATTGGTGTTTTTCCTGGCAATTACGTGGCTCCAGTTACAAGGTATGTGTTACACAAGTGTCTGAGTAGGTGACTTGTTCCAAGCCCAGAATGGTTCTGTTCTTGTACTTAATGCTAAAACTGGATAATAGAAGAGATGGGGGTCTAGTAGATCATTTTTCAGTCGTGTTCTAGTGTTTTGCTTTTAATTTTGGCAGGGCAGCGACAAGTGCGTCACAAACCAAAGTTCCCACGTCTACCGCTGGCCAAACAGGACGAGTGGTAACGATGGTCAGCCCTTCTGCCGCTAGTGGAACATCTCAGAAGCTCCAGGGGAATGGTGTGGCAGTGAATTCCAGCACAGTACCCGCAGCCGTGGTTTCTGCGGCGCATATCCAAACTAGTCCACAAGCCAAGGCCCTTATGCACGTGACAGGACAGATGACAGTCAACCAGGCTCGCAATGCAGTTAGAACAGGTAAAAATAAATCAATAAATAAAATAAAGCTTTTAATGTGTGGTAACTGGTCTGTAGGGTCAGCAAGCGGCTGGAGTCAGAGTGTGTGTAAATATGTGTTGGGGTTTTTTAAGGCAATTTTATGTCATTTTTTAGAGTTGAGTGCTTTCTGAAATAACAAAAGATTCAACAATTCAGAGATTATTATTACTTTCCTCTAAGCAAGTGTGTATACATACGTACTCCTACTGTTGGGAATGCAAATACTTTAGGTGGAATTTTTCTTATTACAGCAGTATTTGGCATAGGGACATTGAGCTTCCCCACTCACATGCAATTCATATAGTAATAATAGTGATAAGTACATCTGAGTCATAGCTTATTTTTTGTGTTAACTGCGTAACAGCTACAGATTGCTCTAATGTAGGGTTCACTTTTAAATTCTCTCCTAACGTCTTTGAAGACCTTTAGCATTCATTCCTCCTTTTTCAGGGCTGTGGCTCAGGGTTGGTCCATAGGCATTTTGTTTGTTCTCTAAACCTGACTGCAGCTTCTTTCAGCTTTGACTCTGAAGCACTAAGGCTATACTGGCTTCAAGATCCATACCATCTGTGTCATGAAAGTCTGTATTTCTGGCAGGTATAGCTCTGCCTTCACTGTCTGGGGCAGGCCACATCACAGTGAAACATGCCTTCATGTTATTTAAACCCAGATCCAAAAACATTGATAGTGGTGGTTTAAGTGGTTTTGTTTACCAAATCCATGCACTTCTCTGTGGATTTGCCAGGCTAGGAAAATACCACACAACTGGAGGCTAATCTGTTCCAGTTGCTCCTAGGGCCTCAAAAGAAAAGCCCCAAAAAACCAAAACCCAAACAAAAAAAGAAGCCAAACCACAACAAAAAAACACAAACCATCACCAAAACAAAACAAAAAACCCCTCAAATTCCTTTTCACTGTCCCAGTGTTCCCTCTTTCAGCCTTGGACATGGGGCCTAAGGTCTCTTGGCTGTGGCCAAAGATTTTTTCAATCACAGGATTGTTGTTGGCAGGGCAGAAGAGGAAAAAAGAGATGCAAGCGGTATTATCCGTTATCCCCTTGAGAATGATTGCTTCTTGTGGTCTCAAGATCCACAAATTAGCCTACCCCTCTTCAGAGTCATGCATCCCCTAAAACATCCTGTGCATGTTCAGATGTCTTGGGCCTACAAGGAAGCTGGGGGGGACTTTTCCCAAGGGCCTGTAGGGACAGGACAAGGGGTAACAGGTTTAAATTGAAAGTGGGGAGGGTTAGATTGGACATCAGGAAGAAGTCCTTCCCGGAGAGGGTGGGGAGGCACTGGGACAGGTTGCCCCGAGAAGCTGTGGATGCCCCATCCCTGGAAGTGTCCAAGGCCAGGCTGGATGAGGCTTGGAGCAACCTGGTCTAGTGGAAGGTGTCCCTGCCCATGGCAGGGGGGTTGGAACTGGGTGGGCTTTAAGGTCCCTGCCAACCCAAACCATTCCGTGATTCTGTGATTGTATGATTCTGTGTCAGCAACAGGTTTGCTTTTGAAGGTTGGATGGGTACATACGTATTTAGGTATTTTAGTTCCTTAACTGACTGCATCTTCTTCCCGTATGATCTGAAGGTGGAACAGATGTGATAGTCCTCTGTAACAACTTCATTCTTTACCTTTAATAAAAGTAACCAGGTGCTGCTGGCAGCTGTTAAGAGAAACTAAGCAAAGCATCTGTACTTTCCTGCCTGTCAGGCATAGGAGGTTTCTGCTCTAAATCCTTCTTCTGAGCTGGCTACAAGCTCCCAGGCGACAGCACGAAGGAGAAAGCTCCTGTGGGCTCCAGAGGCCTCTCAGTCTGCGCCGCCGTCAAGATCAATAAGCTCTTACAGTCCCATTCAGCTGGAAAACATGACAAGATAACTTCCCCCCAACTTTTCAGGTCCAAAATGGAAAAATCAAAGGGGCTGCACTGTCTTCACAGGGAACCTAGCATTGGATTGTGGTGAAAGGTGTACCGTTCGGTCACCAATACCGACCTGTCCCTTGTAAGGGCCTGACAACTGAAGCAATAATGGCTGCTTTATGTGCAGATGTTAGAGAACCTTACAGTCAGCAGCTGACACGCGATCGCCCTGAGCTTTCCCTAGCATCTTCGCTGAGTGTTACTCTCTTGGGGAGGCTGCACAGATCAACGCTGCATTTTGCAGGGCTGGTCTTCCTTTTCAGTTCAGCTCGGGACTTACTTCGAGGATCCTTCTTCAGATCTCTTAGGGAGACATTGCTTGGCATCACCCTCGCTGAGGGGGTATGCATTCTTCGATTGAAAGGAACTGGGAAGAAAATAAGGTCACTTGAAGCATTTTGCTACAGATTCCATCAGGAATAAGAAAACAAAAGCAGAAAGGCATTCCATGCTTGTAGTCCATTGATGACATGTCGGTATAGACATGCAGCTACTTGTAGCTGACTTTGTCTCACAAACAGAAGGCAGTGTTAGCGACTGTTTTTTACAGAAAGTCTTGCTGCATGCTCCTTATCTTCCCTTTTGAAATGTTTATGGTACTCAGAAAGGGTCTGCTACGGAGGAGGACATTGCATGTCAAAAAATAGACATCCCATTTTGTGCTGCTTTCTTTTTAAGAAAAAAAAAAGTTGTTTCTTATCTTAGAGATTGTAATTGGGTATAATACTGTAGGATTGTTCTACCAAATTTGTGAAGTTTGTCAGTGTTATCTAATACACTGGTGATGCAATCTACCCAGATTACCAGGAGAATTTATAGAGAGCAGAATAAAGAGAGCAAGTGCTGGAAGCTTGATTCCAGGATATTGCTTCCCGCAAGCCCGAAACCCATAATTACTGTTTGAAAAATCAGGTAGAATTGGTACATTTGAGATGTGTATGCACCAATCTAGAGGAATGAGCCCTCCTTAGATAATAATGTTCAGCATATCTGGAGGAAAATGTCTATGAAAGGGGCTTTGCAGCACTGGGTTGTTGCACTGTGCCTCTTACTCAGGTGAGAGTATCTGCACCTCACACCACCCAGGGGTGCAGGGGTACCCCAGCTGTTGAAAGGATCCAAACCCATGTATCATGGACCATGTAACCACAGCGCTGCTTCTTGGAAAGGATGAATTCCTTCATGCAGAGCTCTGCGCGTTGCAGCGAGGCCGCAGCCCACGTTGGAACAGCCCCGCGCTGTTCTCCAGCTTCCAGTGTAGATGTTCCTCTTGTTTCTGAGGGGTGTGAGTAAATCTTCTATATTTAAACATCCCAAGAGACAATAGCTGACGTTTTTAGAGAAACCACTCACAGCAGTAATTGCCACTGTACTTAGTGTTTGACAGACCCACTAAATCTGTTGTGGATTTTGTGAATAGTTTAGGGAAAACAATCCCTAAATCCCTGAATTGTATTTTAGCAGCTTCTATAAGGAGGGTTTCTTCCCTGACAACTACACAGCGTATGAAAAGGAATAAACAAGTGAGTTCAAAGCAGGATTTAGCTGGATCTTATGAACTAAAACGTAATCTTCACTTTCCATCCCTGTGACGCATTGCACTTGGCAGCCTGTCATTTTCCACAGCAGCCGCAGTGCTGTTACTCTTCCCTCGCATACTGGGGCAGGTGGGGTGGCACGTGCTGCTCCCTCTTTCTGGTGAGCTCAGTTTGATGCTGTGTAAGATGACGTTACAGTAATAGACATCGGGAGGTTACGCAGGTACAAAGGAAGCGTCGTGACTGACTAGCTGTAACGCGGTGACTGCACCTCACCTTGTGTGTCTTGTGAAAAGATGAACTCTCTCACGTGTTGCTCTTTTGTTCTAGTTGCTGCACACAGTCAGGAAAGACCTACAGCGGCAGTCACACCCATACAAGCACAGAGTTCAACATGCCTTATTCCTGCAGCTATGATCGTTCCCCACCACTCTGTTGCTTCCCAGCAGCTCCAGCCCCAGCTTCCGAGTACTGCTGCTTACATCACAGCTGTCAACGTGAACCGATGTGCAGCAGCTTCTCTGAATTCTCCCAACATCGCTGCTTCGTCTTTGGAGGGAGAGATGAGTGGGAGATCTGGAGCCCCTGCATCTCCAGAGAGCGCTTTAGCTGCAGCTGGTGGAAATGCTGCTGTCAGTAAAGCAGACAAGGATGGCAAGGTAGGTAGGGAATAAAATCACTCCCTTGAATTCTCCCATTTTCCTCACGCAAACCTTTGAGATCCGTATTTTTTTCTTATATTCGCTGAATAGCAGCATTGTGAGTTTTTTAAGACTGAGTCTGGAATTTAAGCAGCCCTTTTGTGACTACAGCTATGGGCAAATTTATTCTTAGCCGTACAAGAATAATTTAGGATGGATAAAATACAGAGCAGACCTTGGAGCAGGGTTAAAATAGGGTTCATGCCTTAAGCAGAAAAACCAAAATGTGAATGGATAAAGAAAGTCCCAAAGAACTATTAGATTGACTGTTAGAATGTTAAGAATTTTGGTTTTCTTCACCTGCTGTCAGTTTCCGGAATACTTTAGAAACATGTATGATTAGCAGAAAACAAACAAACAACATACAAAACCCCACCCCAAACAAAAAAAAAAACCACCCACAAAACAGAAAAACCCCACAACCTCCCCCCCCCAAAAAAAACCCTAACCAACCAAAAAGAAAACCCACCCCAAAATACCCCGCGAACTTGCAGGAACATAGAAAGTTCAGTCTAATAAAATATTTAACCTAGTATTTAGTGAAAATCAGTGTTCTTGCAGGTTGCCTTCCTTATTAAGCAGACACATGGTGAGATTATGAAAGACATGCTACCAGCAATGTTTATTGGACAAAGGAAAAAAAAATCAACGCATAACTGTCTTTTCTAAATGTGTATCAGTAGAGTCTGTGGTGATTCTGCTTTCCTTGCTCCTGTTGGAAGTGTTTTCCTCTCTGTCTAAACTCACTCTCCCTGTCCAACAAGCCACGTGATTATGTTATGTTGTAGGCAGAAATATTCCTCCAGATTTCGAGCTGGTTTAACTGTGGTGTAGTCAGATTTTCTTTTTTTCTCCCTTTGACAACTTTAGATTGAAAACATGATGAAAACGTGTTTCTTTAGGTGAAAACATCTCCGATGTTCTAGACGTTACTACTTTTCGCCCACATGCACCCCTTAATGAAGTTTATGAAGGTTTTAATCATAGGCTGTACGCTAATCTCACCCACTTTTTAATAATTATTGTTGATTATTGTCGAATGGAGCTACCTAGAACTTTGGTTTAGTTTAGCCGGTCACTGAAATCCGTCTGAGGTGCCCTTAGGCAGGGTTTTTAGAAAACTTGGATATCGCTTACAATTTAAGGTTAAAGATGCTGGCATATTTGGACTCTTAATTTCTTTCCTTCTTAATTTCTTTCTTTCTTAATTTCTTTCTCTTTAATTTCTTAGTTTCTCTTTCCCGTTTCCTGGACAGCAGTTCTTTGCTGAAATAGCTTTAGGTTGTTGAAGACTTGGAAGAAGGACAAAGGATTTTCCTTCACAGTTCACCAATTCCACTGCTTCCCAAGCTATAATAAAAATCTCACATTGCTTATGCTCTTCTCTTTCTGTGGTTAAACAGCTTAGTTTTGTCTCCAGGACTTAACAATCTGGCACCTCTCATAAGCACTAAATTCAGCCAGTGAAAGGGTTAATAGGAAGATCACTGCCATGCCCCTTTAAAAAAAGACAAGAAACACAAAAGCTACTTCAGTAATTCTCCTCAGGGTACTGCGTAATAGTCTTCAGGGATTCCTGTCTGGACAAGCAAAAGGAGTGTTTACCATTCTCCCCTCTAGCAGAGCAGAGAAACAGGGTGCCTTCCCCTGTGGCACATTTCTGCTGAATCTCGAAGCTCTTCTCTTACTGAGGGAGGATAAATAAAAGACACTTAACCTGAAACAGAAGCCTCCAGGGCAGACTTTTCTCCCTGCTTGGTTTGAAATGACTCTTTTTGCCTTCCTAAGAACTTCCATGTTAATGAAATGTTTTACTACTTAGATTCCCATTGTGGGGATCTTAACTTCTCGCTCCTTTCCCTTGGAAACCTTTTGGGCCAGTGCCATTGGCTTTTGAAGTAAGCCTTAACTTAAGTGAAAGAACTTGGAGAGTCACAGTGCTCGGGGTTGGAAGGGACCTCTGGAGATCATCCAGCCCAACCCCCTGCCAGAGCAGGATCCCCTAGAGCAGATCACACAGGAACAAGTCCAGGGGCTTTGGGAAGTCTCCAGGGAAGGAGACTCCCCCACCCCCCCCGCCTCTCGGGCCAGCCTGTTCAGGGCTCTGTCACCCTCACAGGGAAGAAGGGTTTCCTCAGGATGACCTTCTGTTTCCCAGTTTATGGCCACTGCCCCTCAATCTGTCACTGGACACCGCTGAGAAGAGCCTTAGCTGATTTGTGGTCTAAATGACTTACTGTTTTTCTCTTTAGAATTTCAATAATCGTCTTTCTCTTTTAGAATTTTCATAATTATCTTTTGTAACTTGTCCAGTCCCAAATATCTCCTCATAATTTACTGAGTCCACTCTGATCACGATGTCCTCTCTCAGAAGGAAATGTTAAACTCCTCCCAGGAGACTTTCGTTCTGAAGTGAGGCACTGTTTTTGCTTTACAGAAAGAAAAAAAGGGTTTGCTGAAACTGCTGTCGGGAGCATCCACGAAACGCAAGCCCCGGTTGTCACCTCCAGCGTCACCAACGCTGGAAGCTGAGCAAGCAGCCGTCGAGTTCGCCCTGCAAGGGGCAGTCGGGCCGGAACTCCTGCCAGCGGGTGGTCACAGCAAAGCAGGATCCTGTCCCACGGACGGCGAGGTCCCTGGACTGGCACCCGAGGCGCTGCATCAGAAACCAAGTTCCCTGGATGCTATGCCGATAGCGCCGCCCCCTCGGCAGCCTTGCTCATCCCTGGCTCCGGTCCTGAATGAATCCCGACCTCTTGTCTGTGAAAGGTAAACGTATCCTGCACCGCTGGACTCGGGCAAACCATGGAAAAATCCACTCGCTGACACTTGCAGTGTATAGCAGCACTCCCTCAAAATGCTGAGGTTTTAGAGAAAAAGGAACCTTACTTTTTTAACAATGCTTTATGTGCTCATCAACCCACACAATTGTTTGTTTACTTTTTGTTGTTACTCTGAGGTTGTGTGTCGTGGTTTAACTCCGGC